ATGTCTTTAAACGCATGTAAAAAAATTGCAAAACGGTCTTAATATAAAAACTGGAACTCCTTGAAAAATATTTATATGTAAACTAGTAACTCAAGATAAATAAATATGTTCGCACAATTTGACTATAGGTGTTCATGAATCCAAGGAGAAAAAAAATCTCAAACATAAATCAGCTACAAGTACGTTTATAGTTTAATTTTGAAGTCAATAATTTTTAAAAAAAAATATCCAAAAAGAGGGCAAAGCCATTTTGCGGCCCGAATAATTAGACCCGCTCATTCAAGCAGATGACACTTCGGATGCCGAAACTACCGCCGCTTGTACCTGAAGAGTAAAATGAGTTGCAATGATCAAAATACCAAAACAACAAACTTTAAAATGAGTGGCCACACCATATACACATATCGAAACATAAAATTATTAGACTGACCGCGCGTCGCAACACGGCAAATGTAAATTTATAATATTTTCCTCGACTAACCTCTACTAACTAGTAGTAGCGGCGAGTAAGGGTCGATCCCGCGAGGAGCAGGAATTAATTGTGACTATTCTCGTATTAATTAAATTAAAACTAAGAAAGCAATAAAAGATGGGGGGATTGGCTTAATAAAAATAAAAATAACAAAATAAAATAAAAATTAAATAAAATAAGAGAAGTTCCAGTTTTTGGTTCAGTTATCACCCAATCTAAATCTACCGTTAATTAATTTCGACGCTTTCTTTAAATTGCTAATGAATTACCGACCCTAGCTAACAACAAGCTCTGTTAACCGAATTTTCCCTTACCGAATATTTAATCGAAATAAGCTCTTCGACTAAACCTAACTAGTGGACAACCTAGAATAAGCTCTCTAGATTTAATTCACTAGTAGCATTAATTTTTAAGAAAATAGATCAGTCTAAGCAATGGACGCAAAAGCTCGGACCATTTAACTTATGCTCATGCTACCCTAGAGATGCACGACCCCTAGTTTACTACTAATGAAACAAGACAATAACAATTACGGATTAAAGCCTCGAATCTAGCAATTAAATAATGGATATTCAACCTAGCTGGCCAAACCAAATCAAACACCATAATTCATAAACACGATACACAGATAACACGAATCAACTCATCAACAAAAATAAATACGGCGTCTTAATTCACCAACGATAAGAAATAGATCATTCAATTCATAGACAAATTGAAATTAGAGTTCAAACATCCCCTTAAACTGGATAAAAATCTAAACTACCATGCTAATAAAAATGAAAGATAGATAAAAGAGAAAATAAAATTCTCTCTCGTGTGCGGGTGCGGCTTCCCTCCGCGTGGTGTTCTTCCTCTCAGCTCAGTCTCTCGCTTTTTCGCAGTCCGTCACTTTTTTTTTTTTCTGGTGCGCGGCTCTCTCCTCTTCCGTGAATGAGTGGTTTTTTTCTCGTAAAAAAATTCCCTTCAAATAATTCCAAGTGCCCTTATCTAATCAAACTCCTTCAAAATAATAATCCTCCAGCTTGCTTGTTTATTTCCTTGAGAATAAAAAGGCTGCCCCAAAGTCACGTAAGTCTCCTCATATTAATTAAGTACTCCATGTGTGCAAGATTTAATTATAATACATTAGGCCTAGCCCAACCACTTTCATGCATCCTGGTACACTTTCTCTCCAAATGGGGCATCTGCAAATGGCTATTTGAGCTCTTGTAGCAACGGCTTTCTCTTTCATGAAAATTCTCTAAAATGCTGAAAATAAAACATAGAACATCAAAGCAAATAAATCTATTCAAATAATAAATAGGTCAAAAAATATAAATGTGCGAATAAATTAAGTGTATTAATATACACTATTAGATATACAAAATACGCACATTTTTCGGCCTATCATAGACACAAGGTTGATGGTAGTCCAACTGACATCAAAATATAAATTACCAATAAACATGCCAACGGATGAACAAAATAAATGAAATCAAATGTCTTCAAGTAATATTCGTACCGTGACGTGCTCTTAAAGGAGGATTTCCTCTTCCCGCCACCTCGCGCAGAAGCAGAAGTTTTTTTTGCCTTTTCTCACTCATGTCGCCCTCGAAAAGGGGGATTTCCTCTTCTCCCTACCTCGCGCAGAAGTAGAAGTTCTTTTTTGCCTTCTCTCACTCATGTCGCCCTCGAACCAGCTTTCTTAACCTGTCAAGATGGTTGAAATCATTCCATACGTAATTTTTTGGGCCATAGTCCTGGTTATGTGCTTCATCTTAATTCAATGTCCAAGGCCAAAGCTCAAGTGTAAATTTCATCCAATGAAGTTTTTCCTTCAAGAGAATACATACATAATATTTGCACTAATTCACAGAAGTGTGGAACATTGACCTAACTGAGTGATCAATGCCATGACGTTATAATGTTATAAAATTTGGGTTTGAATTGAAAGGCATCATTTTTGGAAGTCCCAAGAAAACAACAAACCATGAAAGAGTCCATTTGACCCCACCATAACAAACCTACAAAGTAGACAATAGCATATACCAATATCAGGAATATTTAGTTTGACTTGATGAAATATAGAAGTAACAATAATTTTAGTTTCGGGAGAGTGACACTTCACTTATGACTTTCCATCGTAGTTATGTCGAGAAATGGTCACAAGATGTTTTCTTTGATAGGAAGGTTGTTATAAATGAATAATATTGTTGATAAAATTGCACCTTCAAATGACTCAGTGGGATAGTTGAATGATTTCCATTTTTTCATAGAAAGGACTACAAGTTGAAAATGCAGAGCCGCAAATAAGTAGTCGCTACTAAATTTGTAAACCATTAGAGTAAATTACCTCGTAAGGTCTCGAGGACATGCAAAATTGATAACTGTCTGAACTCCTATAATATCAAGACCCTGAAAAATGAAATACAAGAGTAAAGTGGACACAACAGAGCAACATCACATGGATATAATGATCTTTATAAAAATTCTAATAATAGGGAGTGCTTGGTAACATTAAAGGAATGTGAACAACTATGAAAGTGAAAGAAATGGGTAAATACTTTTCATAAACCCAATTTGTAGGGGTATGATTCAACAATAAACAACGGGCAATCAAGCACTACTCATTTCATTCCCATTCCCACTTCCCAAACACCCACTCTAAGCACCCAACTAGTTTAGCTGCATGAAACAAAAATCTTATTCTTACACGAGCAGCAACATCTGTAGCAATTAGAAAATCCACTTGTTGCTTCTTGAACAGTTCCAAGGCCTATCCAACAGAACAAAATACTTCAAGATGCAGAAGTGAACCACTCACAAACCCAAAAGAAAACAAACGATGAACAAGGGAGACTTGGAGGAACTTACATCAAGACGTTGGGTCGTGTTCAAAAAATCTCTTTAAACAAAACCCTAATTCAAAAAAAAAAACAATTTCAAACCAAATTCCGGCGAGGTTCGTGAAGATTCGTGACGGCGAGGTCGTGTTCGGTCGTGAAGATTGAAGGCCCAGTCGAAGATTTGCTCAGAATCGGTTGTGAAGAGTGAAGGCCCGGTCGAAGATTTGCTCAGAAGAGGTGTTCGATTTCTGCTCGTGAGGTGTTTGATTTCTGCTCAGAAAGAAGAATGAAGATGATTTTTTGAAGAAATATTTTTGCAGATTTGCTCAGAATCGGTTGTGAAGATGAATTTTTTGAAGAAAATTTTTTGAAGACGAAGTGCAGAGCGGGGGACGAAAATTTTTAAAGATTAAAATGAATTGAATTAGGGAAACACAATTTATGTGGAGTTGAATTGAGTTAGGGGTAATGTAGTAAAAACACATACCAAAATGACTATAAAAGATATTTTTAACAAAAGATGGCCAAAATTTGTGTTTTATAAATTTTTATGGCCATTTAATGATATTAACACTTTTCTATACTCTATGTGATGATTCATTTGATTTCGACATTGAAGTCTCTATTCCACAAAACGTCTTCCTGCGTGTTACAGGTCATTGATAACCGACTTTTAAAAACAGCTAACCAGTATAAGGTTAATTTAATGCATAGCATCCCAAATTGCTCAATTTTAATATTGGCGTATTGAGGGTTTTATAGACATGGCCTATCTTGTCAACATTTGAAATCATTTTAAGTTATGTATGAATGTTATTAATAAAAAATTGTAAATAATCTCTGTACTCAATTTACATGAAGAAACTATTTCATAATTGTTTCGATATTTATCCATCAAAGAAATTTCATACGTTATATTGATCCAATCATTAAAATTATTTATTTTTTGTGTTTACATTTTAATATTTTATCACAATTCTTATGAGTAGGTAAAATGAATGCACCATTTACAAAATTTTACCCTATCCACTATCTACAATTTGCAAAGTGCAACCATTTTATTGATTAATTAATTTTGTCCGAAAATCATGTCATTAGTATAACTAGTATTCGACCTGTGCATTTGCACAGATATAAATAAATTATTGTGAGTCTGTATGCATATAATAATTAATTATTTTTCTTTCACTTTTTTGCAAACCAAATTTACAATTAAAAGAGTTAGAATATTTTTTTTTTTAAAATTGCGTTTATCTGATTGGATGTAATATATATTTTGGTACATCTTTTATTTGTGAATTATTTATTATTTATTTAGGAATTTCAAATATATTTTTTATTTTCAAAAAAAAATTAAATGTAACAACAATAATAACATCTAATCACATTATACGGTCAACACATTATATGGTCAACTGTCATTAATCAAAAGTTTAAAATAATTTTTGTAATTTTGAAGTGATGAGTATTAATTATTTAATGATTGAATGAAATATTAAATACATCAAAATGTAACGATTTTTGGAGGGAAAATTGTTAAATCGCCACATAGATAAAATTAAATAGATTTTATTAAATGTTTTGAGCTAGTAATTATATATATATAGATGTCATAAGTTCTATCTTAAACATAAAACCTCAAACAATGCTAGATTTATTTCCCTCCTCTCTAATTTTCATCCTTTTAACCCATATCATGAAAAACAATCAACCCCTGTGAGTTGATCGTCACCCTTTTCTCGCAGCCATTGTTGTTGCGGTTTTACAAGTTTCGTCTTTTTTCTGAATGTAATTTTTTGAAGTCACGTTTCTTTAATGACCGTGATCTCTTTGGATTATTTACCGTTGGAAATCAGATTCCCCCCTTTCAAGAATTTTCCTCTCTGGCTCGCTTTTGACTCGGGCCTTTCCTTTTTTCCATTCTTTCATGTCTTGTTACTTTTTTATTTTATGCTGTAAATTTGTGTTTTGGGCTTGAGAGATATTGGTGGGTATTTTAGGTAGAATCATTTATCTTCGGAGAAATTTATGGTTGTAGCTCACCTTGTTCGGCTTGATTCTATTACTGGGTTTGTGTGAGATTGCTTAGGTTGGTGCTTTTTTTTGGTTAAATCCAGTGTTTGAAGAGTGTATCTTGCTCAATTCTCATCTGGGTTTATCTCAAATCCCCAATTTTCTTAATACCCGCCAGATATTTGTTGAATTTCCCCATAAGCTTTGGGTTTCTTTACTCGGCTCTGTGTTAAATGTTTGTGTTGACCTGTGAAGATGGTGAATAATAGGAATGGTGATAGCAATAGTAATCAAGAAGATGGGGATAAAAACCCATCAACCATCTCTAGAGGTGGAGCCACCAGGTCATGGGGCCCCACTATTTCCGGCCAATCTCTGTCGACTAGCGGCAGTGTAGGGTCTCCCTCCAGCCGGAGTGAGGCTGCCATGCCAACGCCAGCTAGTGATAGTACATTTGTTAGGTTAAACAATCTTGACATACAAGGGGACGATGCTGGATCTCAGGAGCCTACTGGGTGAGATTTTTTCGGTCTTCCTTTTGAGTTTTTGCAATTGGTGTAATTATAGGAATACTGAAACTCTCTTGAATTGCCACTTTATTACTTCTATTTTATGTTGAGTATAAGTTATGGGGAAACTAGCTGCTAATGGGCTGTGAATATGATCGGATGATAGAAGCTTATGAGTTTTGATATTATCATGATTTTACTAAGACTAAACTAATTAAAGTTCATTCTGGAATGCCACACAACATTAGTTGTTACTTTATCAAGCTGATTTGTCTCTTGTTTGTGGGGTGGAAATGGTTTTCTATTGGTTGTACTCTATGTGCCAATAAGTAAAAATGAAGTAAAATGGGCTATATGATGACATGGCTGTTGGTTAGAGTAGAAGAACTGAACGTAGGTTTCATTTAGGTGTTGGCATTATTGAAAGAGACATCGACATTATTGTAAGAGGTTGATAAGATCTGCCTAACACTGGCAATCCTCCGTTAAGAATGACTGAAGTATTGTAATCGCTTATCGATCAGGGTGAATGCTATGTCTAGTCTATGAAAGCAACCTTCTCTAATTGTAGTCATGTGTCAGCAACAGGAAGAAGAAGAGAGGTCAACGTGCGGTTGGAGGTGATAAAAGTGGCCGAGGGCTTCGTCAGTTTAGCATGAAAGGTTATTACCTCACATTTCTCCTAGCTTTTCTTTCTGTCCTTTTCTTTACCTTTTTATACCTTAGTAATATTGATAGTTTCAACGAGTTTGCTAAAAAAATACATTCATCAAAGCATATTTTCATTAGATAATTGATTGTGCTACTACACCCTGCCGTTTGACCAAATTGTGGACGCACTATCTATCTTTAGGTGTCTTGATAATCAATTTAGAAGAGACAATGACTTAAAAAATGTCCACAAGTTCTTTATCTCTTCTTAAACACAAAAAGTAGATGGAGAATAAGAGGGATATACCAGTCACCCCAAATTATATGAATCTTGACCCGATGTCTTATTTCTTCCACCAGAATTTCTCTCCATGGCTTTTCATTTTGAACACCCAACAACAAATGCAATTTTTTTCCATGTGCCGCTAATGATTTGAATCATGTATGTTAATTCATGCTCTTTCAGTGTAATAACCAATGGCGCATGTGAACATATGATTGTTAATGCTGCACTTTATTCAATCTCTTTGTGCACCTTTTAACTATTACATTAGCTACCAGGCACTTGATGACAATACCTTGTCATGACGTTTAGTCACCTAAAATTATGATTGTTGTGAGTTGCCAATGGTAATTTTGTGCCAGCAAGGAATAACTATAAGAATTTATTATATTTCTACATATTTTGGGGGTTCTGCTGCTGTTATGTCGCTTTTTGTGTAGGGTTACCTATCACATACCAGGTTCTGGGTATTGCATTATTTTGCATCCATGTGCATTTTAATAATCTTTTAAGCAGTCAAGTGGTTGCTAGAGAAGGTATATAAATAACGATTCATCTAATAGAACATCATTGGCGATCTTCCTTTCTTTTTGCTAGTTACTTCGTGTGGTGTAGGAACTGAGGCTGATAGTGATTTATTGAGAAGCCTGCAAACTTAGTCGTTCCAAATTGAATTTCTGTAATTTTCTTCCCTTCTTTTGGAGCAATGCCAATCAATGGGAATGCTTCTTGTGTTCATGGTTTTATTATTTTTGTCATTTGAGTTATATATGGTACTTTAAATAAATGTTATTTATGCATAAAATGAGAACCTGTCGTTCTATTCTCTGGGTACCAGGCTTTAGCTTTAGGGGAGGCGAACTTGCCAAGTTTTAGGGGCTTTTTGATACAATTCGACTGGCTTAGAGTATATAAACTCGATCAATTACTATTGTTAATCCAGACTTCCAGTAGTTTAATATGAAGTTATGTAACAATTGACCCTTGTCTCTTCTTTTGGATAGTGTGCGAGAAAGTTGAAAGCAAAGGGAGAACTACATATAATGAGGTTAGATGGATCAGAAAAACATTCTTTAGTTCTTGAGCATGTTCTTAATGTTTTCTGTCAACTTTTATTTTAACTATATTATTTTGAGAAATGAAATATAACTGCAAGGTCACGTGATGCTGACATTTTTTTTTTAAAATATTTATTTTTTCCGATTTCATTAGATTAATTCTGCATACTTATTATCTTAGTTCTCACTATGTTTTTCTTCTTTACAGGTTGCAGATGAACTTGTTGCTGAATTTACAGATCCCAACAACAATGTTGCAACACCAGATCAGGTATATGGTTTTTTTTTTTATTTTTTTTTGTTTTTCCCGTAGCATTTCTCTATGTTGTGAAACCCAATACTCGTGCTATAAATTTTTTCAATTTCGTTATATGTGCCAGCAACAATATGATGAGAAGAATATACGTCGAAGGGTATATGATGCCCTCAATGTGCTAATGGCAATGGATATAATTTCTAAAGATAAAAAGGAAATTCAGTGGAAGGGTCTGCCTAGGACGAGCTTGAGTGATCTTGAAGAACTTAAGGTTAGACTTCTTTGTTCCTATGGTTATTTTTATTTTTATTTGCCACATAAATTTTGACAAGTTGTTCCCAATGTCAACTAACTCAATTTAAGTTCACGTATAATTTATTGCAGACTGAACGTTTTGGACTGAGAAGTAGAATTGAAAAGAAAGCTGCATATCTTGCGGAGCTGGAGGAACAAGTACGAAAATTAAATTATTTTCCCCTTGTTTATCTGGGTTTAGCTGGAAATCGGTCCCTTATGCACATAATATGTCTACTATAGTACTATCTGTATAGCATCAAAGTGGACATTCTAAATTTAACCACTTTATTTTATTTTATTTTATTTATTTATTTATTTGCTGCAGTACATTGGTCTTCAGAACCTCATACAACGTAATGAGCAACTGTATGGTTCAGGAAATGCCCCAAGTGGTGGAGTGGCCTTGCCGTTTATTTTGGTTCAGGTAGAATTATTGGTATTTTAGAGAGTTCTAAATTATGCAGAAATTAGTGGTACTTTGCATAATACACAGGAAGAGAGCACCTATCCTGCAATTTATGAACCAGCAATTTTGTTGTAGCAAAAAATGGGAAAACTGAAACACAATATTTGATATATTATATTATAATATAAATGTGGAAGTCCTATCTGAAAGCTTTTGTTTTGTTTTCGTGCTGATTTCATGACAGATACATTGCTAAATGAGACTAAAGCTTGACCATACGAAAATTGCTATCATTCTCCCGATTGTCTGACTTATTTTTTTCTTGATAACACCATTTGATCTATATTATCTCCATTAAGATGTATTCTGAAAATCCATTTTTCATGCTTTTTTTGCATTCTAACTGCAGACTCGCCCTCACGCAACTGTGGAGGTGGAAATATCAGAAGACATGCAGCTTGTGCATTTTGATTTCAATAGGTAATTCAATGATTTTAGAATGCGCTGTTTTTCGGTTGTGCAGTACATTAGGGAGAAATGTCCTTTGCAGTTTGCATGATGAGGCACATAGCCATCAAACGGTTTAACATCAGACCAATCCCTCGAAACTAAATTATAAAATAAATTATGATGTTAAGAAACACAGAAACATCGAAAACTCCAAAACTAAAAAAATGACTAAAAATTAAAAAGAACCCAAACTCATACCACTGAAATTTCAAATTTTGAAAAAACTCTAGAATTAAATAAGGGTAAGTAATATGAAATTAGAACAACTCATATCATAATATACAGCTTAAAACTAGTATGTTGAATTTTTTCGAAACTTTTAGCGCCAAACTCATATCACGATTTGATGCATGAATTTGCCTTTTGTTTTTGGAATTATTTCTCCCCATGGACATGAACATAATAATATATTAATATGGATGTTTTTGTGCTTTCAAGCTTTGGCTTATACTTCACAAATTGAAATCACTATTCTCTTAGCATATTCACTTTATTTAATCGAATTTCAGCACTCCATTTGAGCTACATGATGATAATTATGTTCTCAAGGCCATGAATTTTGGCAAGAAAACACCGGCAAATAGCACAGAACAGAATATGCTTAATGATGGAGGAGAAAGCTCGAGCATGGCCAATATGTACACACAACCTCAACAAATATCTCATCCTCAGAGGACAAACTTATCAGGTAGGGCCGCCACTTCACCTCCTCTCCCCGGAATATTGAAGGCACGTGTCAAGAACGAGCATTAGTTTGTCTGTGCCATATCAAATTAGGNATCCCGCTTTAGCTGTTATGCGAAACGAGCCAGTCGTGAGCTTGACTCGACTTATTAAGGCTTGAGTTCAGTTCAAATGAGTCGAACTTGAGCTTATTGAAAGCTCGTTTAGTTAATGAGCCAGCTCGGCATGTTAAAACTCGAAAATAAGAATTTTTATATAATTTTATGTAATTTGGTTCTTTTAGGTTTGAGTTTAGCTCGAGCTCGACTCGATAATATTGATAAACAAGCTGGCTCGTTTAGTTAACGAGTTGGCTCGATAATATTGATAATATTGATAAACAAGCTGAGTTGGAGCTCGATTACTGGCTCGTTTAGTTAACGAGTTGAGCTCAGTTAGGCTCGTTAAGGGCTCGAGCTCGAGCTAGAACTCGACTCGATTCATTTACAACCCTAGAACTCGTGCACAAACATACATTCGTGCGGGCATGTATTGGTCTGACGGCTAGGCTTGCAACAAACAGACACACACATCAAGTGTGTGTTTGGCCTCATATATCTTTAACTGGTGAATAAGGAACCGATTTAGTAGTTGCCCATTACACTTTTGTAAGTCATTCAACGGTTGTTTGAAACATTTTTGATATATATATATATATTTACATTTAACGATAAC